ATTTCTCCTCTTAGAAGGGAGCATCCACAGGTTCATGTGAGTTCTGTAACTGTCCCTTCAGATTGTCCTTCCAGCAAATGCTGCCAGATCACCTGCCGATATTAACATGGCACAGAGGCAGAGAACCTTCTTCCTACCAACACCAGTGACAGCCTTGTAAATAACTGCAACTTTTATTTAAGCTTGGCTTCTGACTTTCATATTCATATAATAAACAGCGTAAGCCAAATTGCAAAGGTTTTCAGAATAGCAATGGTTTCCCAAGAAAAGCATTCATAACTGAGAAAAACATAAATAAATTAGAAGTGCCACATCATTGCACTGTATAAATGAGGTAAAACAGGGATGGATCAGGCTGCTTTTGGTCACACAAACATAAATTCACAATCAAAGAGACACTGCCAAGAGGAGTCTGGTCTCATATACTCATGAAAGACATCAAATCCTATCATAAGGTAGTATGAGGCAGTTAAAAAATATGATCTGTAACTTTCCTCAGGCTATTCCATGGACTTGGCAGATGATGGATGCAGAGTCATCCTTGTCTGAATGGCAAACAGACCATATGTGTAGCCAGAACCTCATGGGAACAGGAGAAAAACCCCTTCTCTTGTCTCATCCCGGTCCTAATGCAGCTAATGACATCTGTGCAGAGGTGCACGGGAGGGGGGCACCAGGTACAGGCAAGAGGTGGAGGTGAAAGAGTTGGGGTGTCACGCAACAGTCTGTCTTGGGGATGAAGGGGACAGTGAGGGAGCCAGAAGAAATTGTGAGGTGATGAAGAGGGTGACAAAATGGGGGGATTGACAGAGAGCAAAAAGCATGGATAATTAAAAGAAAAAAAAAAAGAGAATAAAGGAAAGACAGAAAAGAGAGCCTGAAAACATATCAAAGAGAGGAAAGGGAAACAGTTACATAGGAAAAGAAGTGTGGAAAAACAAATGTCACAGAGGAGTATGTTCATGAGACAGCACAGAAGAGGAAGAAAAGCCAAGATGTGCCAACTATGGAAAGAAGGAAGAAATAAGGGGAAAGAAGGAAAGGCGAAATAAATAAGTTGATTTTTTTGTTGTTGTTGTTGTTTGGCAAACTTACAACAATAGAAAATATAATGAGCCAAACAGGGAGAAAATGAAACACTGGCTGAGATCAGAGAAGAGAAAGACACACAAATGCGCACACACGCCCCAATTTTTTCACAAGGCTACAATGGCTGGTACTGTGAATGCAAACCAGCCTTCCTGCATCATGTCTGACAACCTAAAACATTCTCCAGAATGACAGCTGAGCTCCATTTCAAAGCAGCACAGAACAAATCCCTGGGATTTCTTTCTTTTTTAAATGAGAAAATTAATTGCATCCCATAAATGTCTATAATATAACGAGATGTAAATTCGGTGCCTCAAGGCTAGAAGCTAAGAGCAGAATTTGGCCCTAATTCAGATAACAGCAGTAACCGAAAAATAAGTTTTCCTTTATGGGAAATTTTGACAGAGTTTTTTTTTTATTTCAAATGGAAAAAAAAGAGAAAATCAGAGCATTTTGAACTTGAACATTTGAAATGAAATAAGAACAGTGTTTTCAAAAGAAAGAAAATTGCTGATGCTGTAAATTCCTCTGCAGATATCAGCACATAAAGTTCTGTAACTGAAATTCTTTCAATTGGAAAATTTGGTTGCTGTAAAAGTTTTTTATGTGACAAGCATCAATTTTAACAACTGAGAACATTCCAACCCTCTAAAATTCAAGCAGTTCTACCACTGTGTGTGCTGCTTCATATTCATCACCCAAGAAAACTGAAGCAACAGAAGCAGAGAACAACAAGGGAAAAACATCTGTCCTTTCAAAATCATCAGAAATATTTTCTGTTTCTGCAGGCCTGTCTTCCTCCTGCTGTTCTAGGGTTATTCTCAGAGATATTCCAAGAAGCTACTCAGAGCACCACACAGTTATTTTTGCTTGTTGTGGTCGTCTCCACTTGGTTGCTCAAACATCTGCAACATCTCAAATACATTCAGGTATCTCACAGAAGACACTTTTTTGACCCGCATTTCTGGTTGCTGGACACATCTTCCCTTCATGTGGGACCTCTGTTGGTGTGATCCAGGATCTGAGCTAATGCCCTGGATGCTTTTTGGAAAGCAGAGGCTAAGCCCTGGGTATGTCCTTTATTAGGAACAGAAATCCCTAGAGGTTCTGGGGTATAATTTTGCTCAGAAACGTGATAGTTTCTGAAAAACTTTTTGGTCTTTGCTAGATTTGTCTGTAACAGCTGAGCAACACACAAACTGGGTTTAGTTAGTCAAATTGATGCTGCAAAATTTAGGTCAGGTTATCTACACGCGTTTCAAACCAAATGGGGAAATTAACTTTCCATTCGATGTTCAAAGGATTACAAGTAAAACAACCTATGCATGCATGAGTGCCCCGATCTTCCATGATATGAGTCACATCACTATCTGCATGGTTAAAAAATAACTAATTATCCGTTTATCACCTGGCCAAGTCCTCGTGCACTTTCGCTGGATTGCAAAGCACAGAGGTTTGGCCCCAAATGACTGGTTTCCCATTAAAAACTTAGCTCCTGATCACATCTTTTCACTATTACTGCCATACTACAGCGCCACATATCTCAGTAAAGAATATTAAAAGAGTGTTACAAACATGTGGCTTAGTTACCTCTTTTATTGTGTAACGATGTAAATATTAAATTTTTAATTACTACCTCTTTGAAGGCACTTATAAATTTTTATTTGACTATCAGGGCAGGGAACGGGAAAACACATTTCTTCAAACTTTGTTGCAAAGAGACATCTTGGATGCAGAAGATTTTCTTTGATTTATAAAGTCATTCAGTTTGAAGCAAAAATATTTTAACAGCCCTTTTTCACCCTGGTGGGGTTAAATTTAAATATTGAAAGACTGCATTAGTGCTGTCAGTTTACTGCAGTAGTAATACTCCCTAGCATTACATTTGCATAGTGACATAAAATGCTTATATGTCTTCTGTGAAAAGATGATTTTTGGTCAAATTTTATTCTCCAACTCTAATCATCTCCATGTAAATCTGGAATTCTTGCATTATGACTTAAGTAAAACTACTTTAGTCTCTGCAAAAAAATTAACCTTGAACCAGGAAAACACGGAAGCCCACGGTCACTTCTAAGTGCTTGAATAACTTCACTCACTAACGGATTACGTACATACTTAAAGCATATAGTTATGTGGGTTTTGTCCCCTCAGAGTAATTTTTAAATTCCACTACCATGTTCTGTTCATTGTTCTGCTTTGCTGTGGAAGAGAACCGAAGCTGTAACACTGGAAAAGTAAAACCTCAGTACAAAGATGGAGAAAACAGTTTTTAATGGAGGAAAGCAAAAAAAAAAAAATAAAATCAGCGTACTTATTGAATATACAGACAATACTGTAAGCAACAGGGGTTTCCTAGGAAATCAATCATGACAGATGCTCAGGACAATCATGAGAGCACAATATTTTAAATGAAGCAAAGAAAAAGCTGCAGTCAGTGAAGAGTCGGGATAATTTACTTGAAAGAAACAGTCTGCAGTGTCTTAGTTCCCTCTCAGAAGGAACCTGTGATTAAATAGATGGAAACTGAAAGCACTCAAAAAGAAACAAAACCAAAAAAGCAAAAAGCAACCTCCCAATCTGTTAGTCCCTTAAATCAGAAGTAGTAAAAAAAAAATAATTTTTAAACTTTTGATGTTTACAAAATTTTCCAGTATGTGGGTTGTAAGGAGCGGTTCCAACTCCAACGCAGCGATTCCTCTTGCCCCACGTTTTTTGCAAATGTTTCAAGTCCTGTAAAGTCAGCTCGTGTTACCTCAGTATTGTCTTTCTCACCTAAACTACTGCATTTTGGGAGGCCAGCCGAGAAAAGAAAAAAAAAAAAGAAAAAAAAACCTCCCAAAAGAGGTATTTTTTCCAACCCGGGAGCAGCTCTGATGAGATCCCTCAGGATTTCATCAAGGCTGCTCCCGGGTTACCACTAAAAAACTGTCTTTATAAAGATAGAATTGCAATCACAGTGAGAAATGCAAAGAGGCTGCAGTTTTATTCTGTACCGGGGCCTTTTCCACCTCCATCATATTTTATTATAAGAACCCTCTTGAGGCTGTTAAATCAAATTTGATCATCTGGCTTCTAAAAACCCATTGACACTCTGTCTTTCACTCCAGCCTGAGACGTGCGGTGCCCTAGGCTGCAAACACGAGCCGTCTTGTCAGCGGCTAAATAGCTCAACGATTACTTATTTCTATCTATCTATCCCCTTGCACAGAACTTAAACAAGTAGGCATAAAAAAAATAAAAACCAACCCCATGGCACACATGACACGCAGATGGCTGTAAAATAGCCACCAAAAATTATTAATATATCATTGAAATGTATAATTAAGCTCTTGAAATTATAAAGGGACATTTGATACGTTTTGAATAATTGTGTCCACATTCTGCTAAATTCATCTGGGTTTGGTACACAGCGATATCAAGTTCGGGGAAAAAGCCTCTCTCCTCCACTACGATCTTACTTTTCGCTATCTCATTGGAGTGGAGTCAATCAGTGAAAAACTCTGCTATTTTCATGCTTCGGAAACTGCTGAGGAGCTGCTCGTGCACATGCCCAGCATTTATAACGATCCCTCTCGGGAGCGAGCCTGCCAGATACAGAAACTCCCGGTAACGAGCCCTAAACAAGCACTAAAGAGCACAACAGATTTATTTTTATTTTTTTTTTTTTTAAATCAGCAAGTCTTTTTCAGTTTTCCCCTTGTTAGGTACCTTTTTCTACCTGAGCGACAGAAAAAAACTTAGCTGCCATCAGCAGAAAATATCTCTGCCTGAAGACTGCTGGATCGGGACCGTCCCTACGGTTTTCAAATGGGGAGAAAAAGGAGGGGCTGAGGGTCAACTTCCCACCAGATTTTTTTTCAGAGCAAGAGTGAAAGAGAGA